CTGTATTTCATATTAGTGACAAACTTTGGCCTTTTTTGACGGGTTGCTTTCATTTTTGCTTCTACTTTTAATTTAAAATACGTTTCCATTCTCAGCAGGTTTCTAAGGTTCTTCTTCTACACATTAAAACCGTTGTTAAACATCTGAGTGGCGCACTACCGCTACTTGTGGTGAAAAAGTGTATTGCACCTTATTCAAAATCAATGCGGTCTCACGGCCCTCTGCGGCACAAAGTTAAAAACTGTTGTTCTTTTGAGGCCCTCAAGGTGGCGGCCCATAGGTTAAGAATCTATGCTCTAGCTGACTGTCCTTCTGGTTCATGGGTTTATTTAAGAGACAATTCCAACAATTCTTTGGCTTTACAAGGCAGGAAGCAAATGGAGGTACATCACTGGGCGACACTCACAGTCCCAGCACTTCTCCACAGGTGCACCTGCTGTGGTTCTGATTGGTTCAGCTTCTGCTGAATGTGTCTCCAGGTTCTAACCATGGAGAACCTCACAGAACCACACAGAACCAGACAGAACCACACTCAGCCATGCAGTTTGTACCTTCTTGATTGTATCTTCAACATTTAAAAACATTTTATGACTTTTCCCCACAGGAACCTTTTTGGACCCGTCCTCGGTTCATCGCCGGCTCAGAATCCATCTGTTTTAGCCAGCATGCAGCCTGGCTTTGGAGGTGCTTCACTGATATTTTTACTGTAAACTACAGGAGTAAAGTACATTTTTTGCACATTAATATCTTGATCCTAAAGGCTGATTTTGTGACTCCTTCATCTAGCTGTTCCCTCCACAAATCCTTTTGTTGCCACAGCAGTCATTCCAGAGATGGCCACCAACCCGTTCCAGGCCAACGGCAGAGCTCCAGCTGCAGGTAAGTGGGTTCAGGTACTCGTTAACCCACGTTGGTACTTAGTATAACGTAGATGTAACTCAGTTACATTCACAAGTAGTTTTGTGATACACCAAAGTATCTAAAGTACCTGTGTGTGTGTGTTGTATGTGTGCTGTTCCTGTGCACACATGATGTGTGTCTTGTAGCCTCGTTTGGTACTGGCTCTATGAGCATGCCCGCCGGCTTTGGGAATGCGTCTTCCTACTGCCTCCCGACCAGTTTCAGCGGAAACTTCCAGCAGCAGTTTCCCGGCCAGGTCCCCGTCCCTTACACTCAGCCAGGGGCCTATCACCCTCAGTCTAATGGTTAGTGCCCCGCCCCTCTCCCGTTGCACCTGTGCACTACCTGCCATGCCTTTGAAACCATTTCCTGCACATTTGTTTTCTGCCATGAACTGTGTTTTRGTATCTACTCAACGGCTCTCTTAGTTTACTTAAATGACTGAAATGTGACCCAACACTGGCAGCTACTGCACAGTTAGAAACGTTTGCATTAAGGGTGCAAAACTTTAGGGTTGTGTTTGTGTCCAGATACACAGTCAGACTAATCTGGAATGACTTGAAAAGCTTTGTTCATGCCTGAATGCAATCTAATACGCTGGGGTTTACTCTCATTGATTTTTCTTTCGCCTGTTCATCCCTGTTCCCCTTCACTTTTCTAAAGGTTACCCATGATAATTTCACTTGTTGTAAAGTTCTGTTATATCTGTGCTTCAGGTAGATGATCCCTGTTCCCTTTATCACCCATAGGCCCTGCATTCCCAGTCTACGGTCAGAACAAGCCCTCGATTGCACCCTTTGGGCAGCCRGTGGCTGTCCCTGGCATGTCTAATAACCCATTTATGGTGAGCATGTCTTCTGTTTTCCTTTTTTCTCCTGTTGTCAGAAGAAACAGTTTGTACTGAAAGTTTAGTCATTATAAAAGAAGCCCACTCTCTTATCTCAACTTGGTCATGTCAGGACCAAATAAAACAGACGTGGTCTTTATCAGGCTCTAAAGTTACTCTGATCTCTGAAAACTGTGTGAAAAACCACACACACATAACTTACAGGTGCTGGTCATAAAATTAGAATATCATGAAAAAGTTGATTTATTTCAGTAATTCCATTCAAAAAGTGAAACTTGTATACATACAGACTGATGTATTTCAATTGTTTATTTCTTTTAATTTTGATTATTATAACTGACAACTAATGAAAACCCCAAATTCAGTAACTCAGAAAATTTGAATATTACTTAAAATAAAAGGATTTTTAGAAATATTGGCCAGCTGAAAAGTCTGAGCACGTAAAGTCTGAACACGTTCAGCACTCAATACTTAGCTGGAGCTCCTTTTTCCTGGATTATGCTACGTTCACACCGAACGCGTTTTGAGCTGCAGGAGTGGCCGGTTTACATGCAAAGTCTATGGTGGACGTGCCTCTAGGGGTCTTGCGGTGCGTCAAGTCCATTTAGCGCGGTGTGCAACAGAAGCGGTAGGTGCAGTTTGAGCGTTTTCAGTGCATGCGGCGCGGCAAAAGCAGCCGAAGCTCGAGTTCAAAAAATGTAACTTTTGCTGCTCGACGTGCCGCAGCAACCAATCAGAGAGAATCATTTTTCCACGTGACAGTTTCCTGAATGTTGCCCACTAACCTGAAACGGACAGACTCTTTAGCTGAAATCGACTGTCTGCAGTTGATGTTCTGGCTGGAGATGTCAGCAGGTATCGATGTGGGTCAGCAGCTCGTTAAACTCGGCTGGGGACAAAAAATAGTTTGTCAGCTCGCAGCTGCTGGAGTGGTGAAACTAACCGAACAATTCGCCTCTAAATCATCTGGGGTTGGATTTATAAAGCTTGCGTACGCAAAAAAGGAGCCCAGACACTTGCATACGCCACTTTTCACGCCAAGGTTGTGATTTATAAAATCAAAACTTGAGACGTGAAAATGTGTGGTGCCTCACACCAGCTCAGACCCTCAGCCAGCTCTGACCCATGCGTACGCTCATTTTGGAGATGTGAAACTGCGACACAGATGGTGAAGTGAGGAATTGTAGCCACACTGTGTGCAGCAGGGGTAATCAATAATGGTGCTCGAGGTCCGCAGCCCTGCATGTTTTACTTGTTTCTCTCCTCCAACACACATGGTTTGAATGAATAGATGATTATCAGGCTTCTGCAGAACTTGGAAGAGGTAATTCACTGACTGAATCAGGTTTGTTGGAGCAGGGAAAAAAGTAAAACATGCAGGGCTGCGGACCTCAAGGACCGGAATTGATGACCCTGACAACCCTGGTGTACAAGGGTTGCCACGGGGTAGTAAAAGGTAGTAAATTAAAAGAGCTGAAATTAAGGCCAGTGAAAGGTAGTAAAAGGTAACAAACAGAATTTGACTTGGTAGTAAATTTTTGATCAACCTACAGGGCTTAACATTCTCTGTCGCGAAGGATTTCCGCCACCGGGGGGGAAAAAAGATTTTCTTTTGCGGTCTCACTGAAGCCGCTCGTCTATTTCTAAATGGGATGCTACTTTCAACAAATCAAACGAACCCCAGAGCACATCCAGTTAGCAGAGCAGGGCGGGTCTGAAAAGTCAGCGGCTGGAGGAGCGAGCGGTCAGTCAGTGAGTAAATCTCCTCCTGCACTTCACTCTGGAGCTTCCCGAGACTTTGCTCTAAAACTTAACTCCATATTACATATTTGTGTTCCAAGCGTCGTTGGACATACTGTATGTTTGAACATACAGTATGTCCAATTTTGCGTGTGTGACGAAGCTCCTCGTGCAAAGGCTGCGCGCGATGCGCAACATTCAGAGTTTGTCAAGCTTTTTGCTCTCCTCCTACAACAAGTGTTCTGTCACATGTCCTTTTGGAGAATATTACAACAACGTAAACGCCAAGTTTAAATACCTCCATCACCTGCGAGGGTGTGCGCGCCCTGCACGAGTAGCACGAACCGAGCAGAGTCTGGCCACATCGCGCAAAAACTGTTTCACTGTTTGTCCATCCGTCCGTTTTCTGCCGCTTATCCGGGATCGGGTCGCGGGGGCAGCAGRCTAAGCAGAGAGACCCAGACTTCCCTCTCCTCAGCCACTTGGGCCAGCTCATCTGGGGGAATCCCAAGGCGTTCCCAGGCCAGCTGAGAAACATAGTCCCTCCAGCGTGTCCTGGGTCTTCCTCTGGGCCTCCTCCCAGTGGGACATGCCTGGAACACCTCACCAGGGAGGCGTCCAGGAGGCATCCTAACCAGATGCCCGAGCCACCTCAACTGGCTCCTCTCGACGTGGAGGAGCAGCGTCTCTACTCTGAGTCCCTCCCGGATGACTGAGCTTCTCACCCTATCTCTTAAGGGAGAGCCCAGACACCCTGCAGAGGAAACTCATTTCAGCCGCTTGTATCCGCAATCTCATTCTTTCGGTCTGGCTCTGGGACCACACGTGGCTCTTTGAAAATGTGGCCAAACATAACAGAATTTATTTTTTACTAATTTTTTTTTATATGTGCAAATATGTGATCAATATTAATGCAAGTAAACCATGTTGATTAGCTCATGCTAGCCTGTTGTGTACTTAAATAATCCAATTTCTTTCTATGATCCTTCTCTCAAATCCAAAAGAATTACCTTTTAAAGAATTTGAAGACTACGTAATAATTAGAATTAGAAAAAAAATGCCTGAATAGTTCAGTTGTACTAGTTTTAATGAAATTTGGTGTAAACTATATTCATTATTTTTCTTGTTCGCATTGATATGGTTTTTTCCTGTCCTGATGTGTAAAAATAATAATATTAAAATTCACAATATAAATTTTTTGGTTTTATAATGTCACCTCCACTGGCCGTAAAGGTTCCCAAAGAGGCCTCAAAAAGGCCCACAGACCACCAGTTGATAATCACAGTTGTAGCTTGTTTTGTGACTCTGAACACGTTATTAGTGTGTCAAGAAGCAAAAATTACTCTTTTGATCGTAAAGGTTGCAGACCCCTGGCTTAGGTAGACGGCTGCTTGGACCTCATAAAACACAGTGGACCAACACCAGCAGAGGACATGGACACAAACCATCAGTGACTGTGGAAACTTTACACTGGACCTCAGGCAACGTGGATTCTGTGCCTCTCCTCTCTTCCTCCAGACTCTGGGACCTTGATCTCCAAAGGAAATGCTAAATTAACTTTCATCACAGAACCTATTTTGGACCACTCAGCAGCAGTCCAGTCCTTTTTGTCTTCAGCCCAGGTGAGACACTTCTGACACTGTCTCGAGTTGTTTGACACCAGGACTGCTACAGCTGAAACACATCTTCATACGTCTCTGTGGTGGTTCTTGAAGCACTGACTCCAGGGTTCCCTTTAAGAGAGATGAGCAGAAACCAGTGTCTACCAACATCAATGAACTGAAGCAAAGGAGTGGGACAAAATTCCACCACAACCATGTGAAAGACTGCCAGCTGTACAGAAAACCACTTCTTCTCCCATGAGCTGCTCCCTCTTTAGGGGTCTCCTCAAGTTTTTRCCACTTTAGCTTCATTTTTTGTTTTGAATAATTTCAGCTCCTGATAAAGACCAAAACACTTTTGTGATGGACTCTCCGCCCCTCCTCCTTTATTTAGCAGCACGATGGATCAGTGGTTAGCACTGTCGCCTCACAGCAAAGAGGTCCTGGGTTCGATCCCTGGTTCGGACCTGGGGTCTTTCTGTGTGGAGTTTGCATGTTCTCCTTGTGCTTGTGTGGGTTTTCTCTGGGTACTCCGGTTTCCCTCGCAACACAAAAACATGTACAAGTTGCCCTCCTTTGAATAAGAGATCTGTGATCTCAGTGGGATTTGTCTGGTTAAACAACGGTAAAATAAAATATTTTGTGAAAGAAACTTTGCCTTGCGCAATCCTTTGATTGTGGACAAATCTAAACTTGTGTTTTGTTTTTCTTCAGACAGGAGCACCAGCCGGGRCATTCCCTACAGGAAGTTCCTCCACCAACCCTTTCCTGTAGCACAACCCCTGCTTTGTGCCACCAGAGGGCAGCATGCAGCACATATTCAACGCACCTGTTCCTTCACGCCATTAGCAGCAGTACATTTCTTAAAGACTTCTATTTTTTTCCATAAAGGTTTACAACACTATGAAGGAGTACAAACAAATATATTCAAGACTACAAAGAAATATATTCAAGACTAAGGGACATTTGTGGGGGAAATGTATTGTTTGGACTATATACTATTACATGCTTTTTATTTTTTTGTTAAAACTGTAAGCTTGATGCATATCACCATTTGTAATCACAAATAAGTACATGTAATGTATATTGAGGACTGAATTTAGCAAGTATCCTTATTTTCAAATATTGTATTTAAAAAAAATCTAGAAACAAAACACTAGAAATTACAGACAAGATTAATAACAGGGTTCTATTCAAATCCATAAACAGTGGATTAGGCTGCTGTTTCATTTCTATAAAGGGATTTTTGATTATTTTAGGGGCCTATTGCCATCAGCACAAACGGTTTCTGAAAGATAAACACAAAGCCACAAATACCACGTGACAACAATATTGAACTACAAGGCATCATTTTAAATACTGTTACTGCATATGAAATTATGGAAAGAAGACTCCATAAGTTTGGATTCTACACTACAACAACGATCGAGACGAGATTTTTTTACGAGACGAGCAAAACCTGGACAGATAAAGGGTCAGGCATGTCTCTGAGCACAAACGGGGGAGGCAAAAAACAAAAGGGAGTGGTGTTACAAGTGCTTTTGTTTCATTTTAACTAATTTATAAGTCATTGATAAGATTGTTTAGTATCCTCTAGTAACCTCAGTTCTGCTAGTTGTCAGAGAAACATTTGAGATATTCACTATATTCTATGAATAACAAAGAAACTAGGAAGACTGTTACTGAAAGCTTCAGGTTTATGGTCCACTTCGGGCTACCTCATAAGAAGTTATGATCCACCTGCTGGGGTTAGTTTGAAGCCAAACAACTTTTAACATTTAAAATCAGAATTTGTGACCAYTCAGTCTCGTAGTGCTCACTTAACATCTCTCTTCTTTGCCTTATTGAAATTGTCAGAAAAGAAGAGCAGACTGTGGGAACTTAAAAAAAAAAAAAACAAGGCAAAAGACATGATTTTAGGGATCACAAAAAAGTTCTGGTTCCTCTCATGACTCTGGAGAACTTGTCTTTGTTGTGCCACCCATGACTAACAATGAATTTGAWAAATTGTGTTTCTTGTTTTACAAGGATTGATAAGTGTGTACATATATAAATATATGTATAAATAAATTAAAGGATTTTTAACTACAATACTGATTTTATTAATTTTTTTTTTTTTAGCCTTTATGCCAGCAATAAAATGTAAACAGGGTACTAGAGTGTGGTCCTTTTTAATCAGCCGTGTTTACTGTGTGTTGAAAAGTTTCTCTCATCATAAAACAAGATGGTGTGAAAGTGATCTCAGTTTCAATATGATTAATAGCTGAAAGCATAATTTTTAAATACTTGAAAATCTAATCGGATTGACTCAAACGGCACTTGCAGTCTCCGTCTAACCGCCTCGTCAGCCGGGCTATTAATGGAGCGCAGCCATTCCCGCGGCTGGACAGAGGACTGACAACGATCAAACTGGCATGGCGGCTCTTTTTCAGGAGCCGTGTTTTGAGATATCAGGACGAGGTCCTGCGCCCAACGAGAACTTTTACCATTTTTCTGTCACCAAGTCGCTGGTGAGTTTTGTTATTTTTAATTAGCAACGTCATTCCTCTTGGCAAAACGGAGTATTTTTGTAGTTTAGCTAAACTTTGAACAGTGGCCAATGGAGTGATAAAATCAATGCCACAGAATTAAAATATTTCTCTACATTCTCAGTAAAAAATGGGTCACATTTGGATTAATACTKTTAAATTAGCACTACATTAAATCATTTTACATTCAATACTTTTTTGTTGACATCATGAGAGTCAAAGGAAATCTCTGAATTGGTTCAGAATAGCGTTATTTTAAAAAATTGTAATTTTTACTAAATGTTAAATATTTAAATAAATCCTAAATGTAACCTTAAATGTTGAAGTTCACATTTAGGTATTTTGGAATGGAGCGCAGATGTTATCGGCTCATGTTATCAGTGTTGTATAAAAAAAGTACCACAGAGTAATACTTGAGTAAAAGTACAAGTATCTTACAAAAAATACTTTGGTAAAAGTTAAAGTCTCCTTTAAGAATATTACTTGAGTAGTCTTAAAGCATCTGCTATTTTTTGTACTTAAGTATTAAAAGTAAAATTAAAAATGAGCAGTTAGATTTTCTGTAAGGACATTTATTAGGAGGTGACCTCCCCAAACATGCAGAAAGGACTGCTGTATTAAAAATAATTAACGTTATATTTAGGATGCACTAGTCCAGCTGTTTCAGTTTATATACATATATCAAGGC